AACATTCTACTACATGACAATGTAGACTGAAGTTTATTACTTCTAAGTTTGTTTACTGATTCAGGATTTAGTGTGTATATAAAATAATGCCTGGCATAAATTAAAACCTCAGTAAAAAATCTGTGAAGCTTTGAGGGACAGATAGATAAACAGGTAGACTGAACGAATGAACTAAAGGCAGAAAGCAGGCCTAAATAAATGAATAAGTGAATGCCTATGCTTTATGAGAGATTAAGTGAAATAAAATAGACATTTTTAATACACCAAGGCAGCTTCTGAACTCTTTTACATTTCATAGCTCAGGTATGCATAGTGCACAGATAACCCATTCAGTTTCTGAATGCCCATGCTCACTTGAGGAATATTTGGCAGTCTTAGGACAAGTGGGTGCTAATGAAACCAATTTCCCTCTTCAATGTCTACAGTAGTCATCTACTCAAAATTAAGTGTGTCTTGGTCCTTCCAATCTATTCAAAAGACCCTGTCTGGGTCACCTGCTTTCTCTGGGGGTGTTATCCAAACAAACCAAAGCTACTCTTTACATTCTGAAATAGCCTAGATAGTGTTCAAATCCAGGTTTGCCTAGGAACTTAGCTAGATCTGTTTCAGAGAGCTTCACTTTGAATGGGCTTCTGATGAGCTAAGGAAAAACACACTTTCTTTCTGAAGATGAAAGTATAAGGTTTAAAATAGCATAAGCTTTTAAGATCAAAGGCTGAAAATATTCAGAACTTTAGAAATTGTCTAGCTCTCATTTTTTACAATTTATTTTAAGTTCCATACCCCAGCTCCACAAATTTAAGCAAAACATTGTTATGCTGGGAACCCTTCTCGGATCTGCTCTAGCCAAAATGGGGTAAAGAAAATGATGTCTGAAAGACATGGCGTTTAGTTCTAAGTGTTGATACAAATACTACCCAAGGTATTTTTATATTGCAAGGCTAGAGATGTGTAATGGGTGAAGCCTCATTCTGATTTATTGAAAAGAATCTTTCTGAGTCCTTAAAAAAAATTCATTGTCCCTAGATTATCTTTCTAAGATCTTAAAAAAACATACTAAGGAAAACCCAAAACCCACTGCCATCAAGTCGATTCTGACTCACAGTGACACTGAAAGGTAGGGCAGCACTGCTCCTTAAGGTTTCTGAGACTAGAAATGTTTACGGGAGCAAACAACCTCATTTCCTCATGTGGTACAGCCACTGGGTTTGAACTGCAGTCCTTTGGGTTAGCAGCCCAATGCTTA